CGGAACCCACTTCCGGCTTGAGTCCGGCCTGCGTCTGGCCAGTTCCCGCGCGAGGCAGGGCTGAGCGGAGGGCAAGTGGGAGCAGGAAGGGGCTGACAGGGGGCGAGTCGGGGCTGAAAGAGGCGGAAGAGGCCGGCACGAGAGGAGGGAGATGGAGGGAGAGAGGCACAGGAGGCCGGGTGGCGCTGAGCACCGCCCTGGGGCGACGGGCCGGGCCGAGAGGGGGTGACAGCGGTAGGGAGAGGCTGGGCACTATGGAGAGAGCGAGCGAGGACGGGTGGGGGCGACGTGGAGGACACTGACGGCGGCGGCGGCCATGCAGCGAAGCTCGGGGAGCGAGGCAGGGAGGAAGATGGCCGAGAATTCACCGGGCAGCGTGGAGGAGAGGTGGCGAGAGAGGCGGGGAGAGAGCGACGACGACGAGAGACGACGACGGAGAGAACGGAGTGGGGAGAAAGACGCCCCCAGCCGAGGCGTGACGGGGGAAGAGGCCGGGAGATGCGCAAGAACGGACTGGCACTTACGCGGAGTCAGTGAGGTCAGGGGAACCAGGATCGCGCTGAGGTCGCGACCTTCCAGTTCGGCCACCTGGTGGCCCCGGGGCTCCCAGGAGAGTGAGGAGGCCTCATCCGGGAGAAGGAGCCGGGATGGGTGGCCCAGTCAGAACTCTGGTCCCCTCTCGCCTGAGACAACCCCCACCCGCCTCCTCAGGATGCAGCCAGAGGTGGAGTCGCTGCGATCCTCCTCCATGGGCAATCCCGGCATGCACAGGGAGGCAGGTACAGAGCTTGTGTGTCTGTGTGTCGGTATTCCCATCACCCGTGAATCCCACGGTAGCTTGCCTGGCAGGGTAGCCTTGAGCAAGCTACTGGTTCTGGACAGCGACCTAGGGGGTGTCGAACTACATTTCCCAGGAGCCTCTGCAATCGACTGGCCCGTGTTCGGGGATGTAGAACTACACTTCCCATGAGCCTCTGGGGAGCAACCCACCATTGCCTCCAGCATCGCTGTAGGGAGTCCCCGGGATGTAGTGGTTATGCTTTTGAGCTGCGATCTGAAAGGTCAGAAGTTCGAAACCACCAGCTTCTCCGCTGGAGAAAGATGAGGCTTTCTGCTCCCAGGGGAGTAGATTTCTACCCTGCCCTATAGGCACGAGAGTTTCCTATAGGCATCAGGTGTTCCTTGTGTCTCAGATTGAGCTCGGCATCTTCCCCCAAAGACAATCCTCCACCCTGGTTCTGTTCTACCTTCCGATGGCCTCACCACCAACTCAGTCACCCACCAGATCCTCCTCATTGGATGTACCTTCTTCCTCCATTCCCTTTCAGTCCGCCAGTCTCTAACTCCTCCCACACACTCTGCTCCATCCCTTCCTCTCTGTTCCCACAACCTGGGTTCAAGTCTTGTCTTCTATCTGGACTGTTTCATTATTCCCTCTGAGATCCTTTAGTTCATTCCGCCGTACAGCTCCAAAGAGATCTTTCAGGCACTCAGAGCTCACCCGACCTCTCCTTTTGTTCATACTACGCCTATGAAGCCCCATCACCCTCATGACACAGCCCCAGCCCTTCAGCTTGGCGTTGGAGGCCTTGAGTGGCTGGGTCTGATGCATGCTGACAGCTTCAGATTCAAATTCCAGCGCTCCCTACATGCAGTCTCTGCCCTAGTCCAGTTCACTCATCCATCTATCCGTCCATCCACTCATTCAACACTTATTGGGCAATGTCTTGGGGAGGATACGTTTGTCTGCAGGTAATAGAATAGACCGTGGACTGCCCAAAGAGCAAGCAGATCTGTCTCGAAAGAAGTGCATCCAGAATGTTCCTGAGAAGCAACGATGGGGGCGTGGGCTGGGTATCAAGGCCTTTGGACATGTTCTCAGGAGGGATCAGTCCTTGGAGAAAGACATCAGGTTTGGTAAAGCGAGGGTGAGGATAGAGGAAGAGGCTCAGTGAGATGGCCTGGGACAATGGCTACACCAATGGGCACAAACGCAGCAAGGATAGTGGAGCTGGCACAGGACCAGGCCGGGCTCTGCC